AGAAGCAACTGAAGAAGCTCATGTTAAGTATTGCCCATCTGACGGAGAGTGGATGACAAGACCTAGGCCAGTGATCAGACGGGAAATGTTCTTATTAAAGCCAATGGTGAGAGGCTAGGAGCTAGCGAATGAGCCATGGACAAGAACCAGACCAGTGTGATGGGGCCACTTACAGCTGGGCTTGTTGGCCAATGTCGAAGTGTTTAAGAGGCTTAGGCTCTTCCCCTCAGGTTCTCCCTGATGTTATAATTAATTGCAGTGGAAGAGGGAAAAGATAAGTTTTCAAGAATTGGCTAAATCATGACCCCATTGCTGAGAATGTGCCTCAGACCCTAGAGCCCATGTTAGCCAGGGAGAGGCGGGTGGAGTTTTTGATGTCACGTGAACTGTGGTGACTATATGTAGCCTTACCTTTCCCAGGTACCTCCAGTGAGGCTGCTGGAGTTTCTCCTTGAAGAGGGCACACCACCTATTGTTACTGGAGTAGCCAGGATGGGCATGAGCTGCACCCTTTGCTACACTCGAAAAAGGACCGGCATGTATGTATATTGATGGGAATGATCTGAAAGAAAGGGAGGGATGGAAGATGTGGGAGTAAGAAGGGGAGAGTGGCAGGACAGCACCCCAGCAGGTGAACGGGATGAGAGCCAGGGCACTGGGGATGGTTGGCCTCAGGTAGGTATGGACATTGTGACTGATGAAGAATAATCAGGGGTCCTCCAGCGAAGATGTGCAGAGACAAGTGCCCTAGGCAGAGGGGACAGCCTGGGGAAAGGCCTGGGCCACTGTAGGTAGCCAGAGCTGGCCAGTGTGGCCAGAGCACAGAATAATCTAGAAGACAGCAGGCCTCTGAGTCATGGAAGGAGTCTGGACCGAACCCAGAGTGTGACTCTGAGCCTCAAGGGGTTTAAGCAGAGTGATGTAACCATAATTGTGCTCCAGAAAGATCCTTCTGGCTGCGCAGTATGGCTGATGAGAGGTGGACAGAGGAACCAGGGAGTCATCCAGGGGACAGATGGAGGTGCCCTGGCTCAGGGCCCAGCAGGGACCCGTACAGGCATCTGTTTACATAATATTTTAAGAAAAGAAAGCTGCTGCGTGGGACACACATAGGAAAGGATCCTAGGCCTAGCTCTATCACTGCCTCACTCTGAGGCCTTGGGCAAGGCGATTCCCTTTGCTGAGACTCAGTTTCTCCACCTCTGAAGCAGGAGAAGGAGGCTAGGCCCCAACCTCTGAGGGCTCCTCCCCACCTGTGGCCTCTCTGCGATTCATGCACCACAATGCCACAAGGGGGCAGCAGCACATCGCCGTTTTCTTTTAGTTCTCATCTGCGAGTCTGGAGTGGAGCACAAGATATTTGCATTTCTAACCAGTTTCCAGGTGATGCTGGTGCCTCAGGTCTAGGAACCCTACGTTGAGAAATGCTGAGGTTGAGGATTGGGGCTGGGAGGCCACTAGGAAATCATTGTGAACTGGGCAGCGACTCCCATTTGTCAACTGGGCAGCGACTCCCATTTGTCAACTACATATTTACTTTTCTAAGCCCCATGAAATCTCTTTCTAAAAAGCAAGATATATTCTTTCACTCATTCAATAATCACTGAGCCTAGTTCTGTCCTGGATACTGTTCTAGATCCTGGGAATCCATCAGTAAACAAAGTCCCAGCGCTTGTAGAGTTTGGCAATAAATAATGTTATAAGTTATGTAGTATGTTACAGGTGATATGTGCTACGTGCATCAGGGAGATTGGAAGAGGGTGGCTAGGATCGGTTCTTAGTGAAATGGTGACTCGTAAGTCAAGTTTGAAAGAGATCAAAGAGATTAGCCATGGAAGTGTCTAGGGGAAGATGATGTCAGGCAGAGGGAACAGCCTGTGCGAAGGTCCCGAGGTGGGTGCACCTGTGTTTGCGGAGCAGCAAGGAGGCCAGTGAGGTTGGAGCAGCATGCAAGGGGGAGAGAGAGTAACTGAGGCTAAGTGCGGAGAAGTGACTGGGCCAGAGACTAGGTTGTTGCGAAGGCCTTTCGCTTTTCTTGGAGTTAAAAGGAATGGTGTGCTCTGGCTTGGTTTTAACAGGATCCTTCTGGCACATACTGTAAGGAGCAAATGTGGAAGCTGGGAGAGCGGAAGGAAGCCACTGCAGTTATCTGGGCAGAAATGATGGTGGCCAGGCCAAGGGACAGCGGTGGGGATGGACAGAGGTGATAAGGTGTCATATACACAATGTACGCACATACTTGTTTGCTGTTTTCATAACTAAACTATCTCCATCGATCTGGTCACCTACTCTTCTCCTCTGTACAGGTCACTCAAATTCTTGACCTGAACTCTTTATGTCCAGACCTGACCCATCTTCGATCTCCAGTTGCCTGTGGCCACACTGTCCTGGGTGACTACTGCCTCTTCAAACTCAAAATCTAAGACATCCCCTCCCATCTGCCATCAGTGGGGCTCACCTCTGTTCTTCCTGGTTTCTGTTGATTCTAAGCACCCACCCCACAATTCTCCCCATCATCCAGCAGAAAGCCCAGGGACATGTTTGGTGTCTCATTTCTCCTGCTCATCACATCCATCCTTCAAACAAGATCTCACAAGTGTGGTCAGGCCCCGCTGCTTCTCCCCTCTATGCCTTCTTCCCCACTCCCACAGCTTCTTCAGGCACTGTTGCCTTGCCCCAAAACCTGTAGCAACTGCAGCCGATGTAGCCTGACGGCCGAGAGCGTGGGACCTGCAGCTGGACTTTCTGGGTTCGAATCCCAGTTTTGCCAACTTTGAACTTGGGCTCTTTCCTTAATTTCTTTGTACCTTAGTTTCTCTGTCTATGAACTGGGCATACTTATACTTACTTCAAAGGGTGATCGTGAGGGTCAAGTGAGTCACTGCATAGAAGATGCTTCGAACAGAGCCTGGTATGTGGTTAGAACTCAATAAATGTTAGCTCTTATTTTTATTTATATAATAGGTCTTCATCGAGCTATTATGTGTAGAGGCCTCCATTATACTAGGAGATAATCTGACCCAGGAGAAAGATCACAGCCCCCAACCAGCAATTCCACTCCCGGATATATATATCCAACGGGTATGTTTACCAATATCCAGCGTTAGACATGTTCACAATGCCCTAATAGCCCCAAGTTGAAAACTACCCAAATGCCCATAGAGAGTAGAATGGAGAAATAAAATGTGATGTATTCACACAAAATAGGATATTATACATTGACAAGATTGTGACTTGTAACAATGTGGCTGCAACTTACAAATATAATGTGAACTACTGGGGTGGGTACCTCTGGCTGTGATTTCAATGGGGGTGGGGGGATAGCCTGATTTTCACCTGGGGATATTTCCTCCAAAACTACATCCTCTTTTCCACTAACAAGATTCCCACTCTCTGGCTTGCAAAGAACCATGGAGGCAGGATGACAATAATAGCTTCTATTTAAAGTAAACATAAATGAATTGCTTAATCTTCACAATACCCCTTCATGCTGGGTACTCACTCCACACAATGATCCTACAGAGTGGGCACTATTTATGCCCCTTTGACAGATGAAAAAAAACTAAAGCACCAAGAGGTCAAGATAATCATAGCTAAAATTTTTATTTAGATCACATAATACTCTCAGCAACCCTCTGTGTTGAGAACTGCCATTACCCCCATGTTAGAGAAGAGGAAACTGAGGCTCAAAGATGTTAAATACTCCGCTTAGGCTCATACAAGGAAACGGCAGAGCCAGGACCTGGCGGGTTGGCCAAGCCCATTCTTCACAGATCTGCTCACAGCCGCCTGGTAGTGAGGTCACGGGCCTACGCCACAACTCTAGGGCAACTCATCAATCGCTCCGATCCTCCGTTTACCCACCTCTGAAATGGGAAGATCAGTAATACTTTCTCTTAGGGCAGAGAGGGCCCCACCTGTAGGAATCATCCAATGCCGAATCATCCAATGTTCTCATCCTCGCTCTCGCCGTTTCTGGGGATAGTATCAGAATTTTTTTCCTGGCTGTGTGTTTGGAGTTTATGTGTTCAGAGCCAGGCCCACCAAAACCCTCAGCCTATGGGAGGCCATAAACCCAGTCTTTAGGGTCAGACTCGGCTTGGAATAAAATCCCATCCCAGCTACAGAACAGCTTCTAGAGAGATCACCTTTCCATGCTGATTCCTCATCTGTGAACTAGAGTTGCTTATGTTTTGTGAAGATTGAATGGTGCAAACTCTGCCCGTGGTTCTCAATCTGGGGTTCCTGGAGGAGGTGGTACCTGAGCGGGTGGGTCATTTACAACCCTGTAGGCTAGAATCGCCCTTGCTCTCAGGCCCGCCCTGCCCTCCCCCTGCTCTGCTCTGGGCACTGCATTCTGGGGCTCAATCTCCTTCCACATTCCCAGTAGGTTTGACCAAGGGGAGGCCCTGCTGGAAACAGGGTGGCGCGGGGCACAGGAGCGAGCAGAAGCCAGGGCCTATCTCCCATCTCCGTCTGCTTTTTGTAAAGTCAACATGGCTGAATCTCCGTAGGGGTGCCAGCTCCCAGCAGACAGCCCAGTTGTGGCTCCGTCTTCCACTGGCTGGTTCCAGTTTCTGGCTCTGCCCTCCCACTACCCCTCTACCCTGAGGGCTGGTATTGAGCTAAAGAAAGCATTAGTTAAAGAGTACCTACTATGTGATTCTATTTACGTGAAGTTCAAGAACAGGCAACACTAATTTATGGTGCTAGAAATCGGGACAACGGATGCTTTCAGGGCCCAGAGGAAACTTTCTGAGATGATGGAAAAGTTTTAGACTTTGAAGTGTTGGTTACATAGGTGTGTACGTTGAAAAGGCTCATTAAACCACACACTTAAGACCTGTGTGTTTGACTGTGTGTTTTCTAATTTCCTGGTTAGATCCTGATGAAAACAGTTTTTATTTTTAAACACACACACAAGTAGATCACAGAAGAGGATATAAAATTTACAGGCAGGTTTTTTTTAAAAACAATAAAACATGAGACTTCAAACAGAATCTCACACTTGGGTCGGTTTATTTCAGGCCACGTTTCCCAGTTCCCGGAGGATATTCTCCCCTGCTTTTCTCGAGTCAAAAATATTGCAAAGCACTGATCTATATAAAGTGTCTACCTCAGTGCCTGGCACATGGCAGATGCTCAAGAAAAGTTAATTCTTACTAATACAAGTTGGATTTAACGGATCACTCCAAGGCCTATTTTCTGATGTTCTTCAGGACAGCACGATTTTATCTTGTGATTTTCACAAAGCATTCAGCCCCTGAATCCTGTCCAGGATGGGGAGGGCATTCTCAGATGGTACAAGCCTGACACACAAGTTCATGCATCGGCACATATCTAGGGATGTTCTTATTTCACCCCAGGAAAGGCTGTAGGAGATTGAGAAGATTTGTGCCCCTCTTCACCATACCCCCAGGAAAAAAGTCCAGCCCAACGCTTGCCTGAGCCTAATGGTTAAGGAGAGAAGGTTGCCCCATCTCCATAAAACTAGTCTGTGCACTGGGAATGGACCAGAAGATTCTGAAAACCTGGCCAGCCTCCCAGGCAGGGAGGTAGAGGTCAAGGTACTAGGACACGCATCCCTCCCCACTGTATCTCGGGGTCCAGATGGACCAGGTGGCTTGTGAACATTCTTGTCCTCCAGGGCCTAGATGGGGGACCTGAGCTGCATTGTTGCCTGTAGCTCAGGTGGGTAGGCACTGAGCCTCCATCCCAGGTTCGGCAATCAAAGGCACTGTTTAGTGGGCTTCAGCCCCAGGCAGGTGGGCAGGGCCCAAGCAGGCACAGGCGGCGCTGGGTCTCCAGTCGGCAGAAATAGTTCTGGTTGGACACACGAGTGGTCACGCCCAGCCCACAGGTGGTTGAGCAGGGTCCCCAGGCTGTGCTCCATTCTGGACAGGATAGCCCAGGGGCTGGGGGAGCAACAAGGCCAGAAGCCTGGAGTCCTGGGAAGAAGAAAGAGGGGTCAGCATCACAAGGTCAGGGCTTGGCCGCCAAATCAACGCACTGACTTGTGGTGCAATCTTGGTCATGTTGCTTAACCTCTCTGAACTCAGCTTCTTTCTATGCAAATTTCCTAATAGTTGACTGTTAGGATTGAATAAAATAATGGAGGTGAAGTACTTAGCACAGTACCTGGTACTTGTAAGCCCCTCATAAGTGATGGTTATTGGGCAACTGTAATGGTGGTGACCATGACAGTCCCCTAGTGATCGGTGAGTTTCTCATTTCTGTATCCTTCTCCGTATCTTACAGGAAGGGGGTTGTGTGGAGTAGTGCAACATCCTGGCCACAAGGATACTAGTGATTCCAAGGCCATGCCTGGAACAGGATGGCGGGTTTACCGGGGTCTGGCTTTTCCTCCTCCCCAAGTCTTATTCTTCTCTGTGAATATTTTGGTTTCCTTCCTCCCGGTCCTTTATACTAGTGGTTCTCTCAGCTAGGGACAATTTTGTCCTCTAGGAGTCACTTGGTATTATGTGAAGACATTTCTGGTTGTCACAATTGGGAGAGGTTGCTACCGGAATCCAGTGAGTAGAGGTCAGGGATGCTCGTAAACATCCCGCTCTGAACAGGACAGCACCCCACCCCCCGCCGCCCCCAACAAAGAATTATTGTCATTAATGCCGAGGCTGAGAAAACCTGTGTTATATGTACGTGTGTGCAGCATGTATGATGCATATATGTACATATACTTGCAGACACACACATGCGCACACTTAATGGAGATCAGACTGCATATACGGTGTTCTGTCCTGCCTTTTATATGTAAGGCGAACTCACTGGCATCCTCCTATGCATTTAAATGGATGTGTCATATCCCGTCGCAGGAGCGATAACAGCTACACCAATGGAGTGCCGTGTGCTGGGCAAACTGCTCTACTCGTATTTACTCAGCCATCCTCACAACAGCTCTATGAGGTGGATGCTCTCATTCTCATTTTACAGTTGGAGAAACCGAGACACAGAGAAGTTAAGCGACTTTCTCAGAGTCACACAGCTAGAAAGTGGTAGAACTGGGCTTAGAACCATGCCCTACTGCCTCTCCTGTGGCCTGTCCTCTATGGAATTGATGCTCCTCTTTTCAGTCGCCTTTAAAAAAGATCACATTCATATAATAATAATTTTAAAACCCCTGGCACAATAACAAAAACAAAATCTCTAAAGAATTTATAGCAGGGCGTGACTGCCTTTCTTGTGCCTCTGCCCACCCCAGGCCCATGTCCCAGAAACAACGACCTTGACACCTTCAGTTTGGGGTTCGTCTTTTGATAAGCCCAAATAGTGAACTATTGATAATATTATATTTAGATTATGTTATATAAATCTATTATTCATATGTATCAATATATTAGAAGTATAATAATGGTATAAATTATAATAGTATACCTCTGCTATGAGATGTGAGGATTTGGTTCAAGTATTCTAACCCTCCCTTCCCTTCCCCATTCTGCCACCAATTTTTACTTTTAATTACTCATAATTTTAAATGATATGCTTACACCACTGCTTCTCGTTTGCTCAGTGTTAGAGAGGTCTCGTGACTCTCCGCTCCACTTTCCTACATGTCTCTTCAGCCACCGCCTCCTCCCAGCTTCTGTCAGGAAAACCTTTGCTTTGATGTGTCCAGGTGTTCTGGCACAGACTCCGCCTTTTTTCCCCCGGCCAGCCCTACACTCACCTTGGGCTGGAAGAGGCTGAACCCCCAGGCCCCCGGCTCGGTCGCACACCCACTCAGGGCAGCACTTGCCCGGGACCTCGACCCTCCTGGGGTAGGGACAGTCCCAGCTGGGCAGCCGGACGTCCTCGCTGCACAGTGGCACACAGGTGAAGCCGCCGTCCTCACAGCGGCAGCGAATCCTGCAGTGGGGCTGGAAGATCTCCCCATCACGGTACTGGCGCCCGTTCACCTCACAGCTCCCATCATCCCCTCCCCCTGTGGAGGAGAAACGGGACCCCCATCGGTGATCCCCAACTTTTCCCTGAGCAGGGCTATGCCGGTCACATCCCCCACACGGCCCTCTCTGCGGAGCTGGCCCAGATGCCGCTGGGGAGGCTGTGCCTCTACAGCATCTGAGCACTGCCAAGGGGCTCCAGCCGCTCATACGCATCCCCTCCCATGGCCAGCCTGCCCTGGTCCCGGCGGGAAGACAGCGCGGTGCATCCTGGCATAGGGCTTACGGGAAGATTGGCCTGGTTGGAGCCCCTTTATTAGCTAAGGACCTTGGCCAAGTGATTTCGCTTCTTCTTGCTTCAGTTTCCTCACCAGCAAAATGGGTTTTAACGGTACTTATTTCACAGGGTTATGGTATAGACTAAAACGAAAAGATTTACGTAATAAATGCAACATAAAGGAGACCGTCAGTAGATCCTGGCTGCTCTGTTATTGTTGTTAGTATAATTATTATAGATTAATAATGGGTGGCTATGATGTACACACTGAGATTTCATGCAGTGAACTTTCATTGTCCGTCTGCTGTGTTGTGGTCATCATTGTCAGGTCAGGGCTTGCTGGCTGTGTGACTTTAGGCAAGTTTCTTAACTTCTCTGAATTGCCTTAACAACGGCAATGATGAGGGCAGTAATCTCTACCTTCAGTTGCAGTATGTGGCACAGTGCTAGGTGCTCAGGAAACACTCTTTGAAGACTTCACGATATGGGTATTATGACCACTTCCTCCACTAGACATGAACTCTTTGAGGGCTGGGGCTGAGAGTGTTCATCCTGGCATTTCCTGTGCTGACTCACAACATGAATGGGGCACCTCTATGTCCTATGGATGAATGCCTGGTACCAAGCCCAGCACATAAAGGACACTGGTAAAATGTTCTGACTCCTTATAATTGCAGAGATATATATTGTGGCTCTCCTGCGAGCCAGCCACTGTGCTCCAAGACATGGTCCTTGCCTGGAGGGACTCAGGGGCCAGTGGGGGAGACAGACGTGAAAGTCTCATCTCCAAGATAGTGAAGAGCCCTGGAGAGGGGCACGTGAGCTGCTCAGGAAGAGCAAAGGAAGGAGCCAACAAAAGGGCTTCCTGGAGATATGAGTGGCAGTTCAACTGGGTCTGGAGGCGAGGACTCGTTGGCAAGCAGGTTTCCCCAGAAAGACCTCAAACGGGACCATATACTCGAAGGAATTTTGGAACCACATAGACTTGGGCTCAAGCCTCAATTCCACGGTTGTGAGCTGTGGGACCTGGGGCAAGTCACTTCACCTCTCTGAGCTATGGTACCCTGCTCACTGGGCTATTGGAGGATTAAATGAACTAAAAGCATTTTACCCCAAGCCCAGAACACAGTAGATGCTCAGTCAATGGGGGTGGGTGATGTTTCTTCCTCTGGGGAGGACAAGACCAGTGTCAGCTGTCTCTCCTTGCTCCTTCCAGGCCACAGCCCTTTGGCTTCAAATCCTGACTTTTTGGCCTGGACCGTGTGGCCACTGGTTTCCTAGAAACTGCAGGGGCAATTACGCCTTAATCTCTACCCCTAGTCTGATCAAGCTTGGGTCTCCCAGCCCGACTCTCAGAGCCACAACCCCGGGCCTCCTGGTCGCTGGGATGACCTGGTAAACAGAGGGATTGTTTAGGAAAGTCAGCTGGAGGGGGCGATAATTTTAGCAAGATTTCCTGGCACCTTTCCTGGGTCCTCAGGCTCAGAGCTGGCTGGGGTGGGGGTGGGGGTGAGAGGGATGACCCCAAACAGCACAAGGCACCCCCAGACTTCCTCTTGGATTCCCCTCCCCACCCATCCATTTACACAAACACCTGCCAAAGTCCCACTGCTCCTTCCAGGCCCTCTTCAATGCCCCCTTGTCCTGCAATGTCCCCAAGATAACCTCAGAGCACAGTTTTGTCATCTGGGGATTTCTGTGTCCTTCCCCTCCGAGAGGCCCTTGCAGGAGAAGGAACAACGGGTTTGTTGTTTTGTGTTTTGTTTTTCGTTTTGCCTTCAGCCCCTTGCACACTGTAACCTTAGGCAAGTGATTTAACTTCTCTGAGCCCCAGTTCCCTCACCTGCAAAAATGGGGGGAATAATAGGACCTACCTCATGACTAAGGCCAAAATGAAATCATGTGTATAAAGGACTTGCTTACAGTACATGCTCAATTTATGGTGCCCGTTACTGCTAGCCCCATTAGAACTATTGCTATTCATTCATTCTTCCATTCATTCATTCATTCAACAATTATTTATTGAGTGGCTACTATGTGCCAGGCACTGTTCTAGGCACTCGTGATACAGCAATGACTAAAACAAATTTTGGAGTTTTTTCTCTAGTGGAAATAAACACGATAAATAAGTACGTAGGGTTTATGATATCAGATGATGATTAGCGCTAGAAAAATACAAAATGGCAGGGTTGAGGGTGGGGTGTCGGTTTTAAATGTGGTGATCAGAGAAGGCCTCACCGAGAGGGTGATATTTGAGCAAAGATGTGAGGGAGGTGAGGGAACGGTGCCACGCAGCTCTCTGGGGAAGCGTGCCAGCGGAGGGAACAGCCAGCCCACAGGCCCCTAAGGTAGGAACGTGCTGGGTATTTAAGGAGCAGCAAAGAGGCCAGTGTGGCTGGAGCAGAGAGCAGGAGGGAGAGAGGGAGTTAGATGAGGTCAGAGAGAAAACAGGATCGGGATCCTCTGGGGCTTTGCAGGCTTTTACTCGGATGAGATGAGAAGCTGTTGGAGGATTTTAGGCAGAAGAGAGGTGTGATCTGACTCGACATACTAAAGGAGGCCTTTAGGCTGCCATGTTGAGAATAAACTAGAGGGGCAAGGGCAGGAGCTGGGGAGACTCACGGAGCTACTGCCAAACCCAGACGGTGATGATGGGGCTCAGGCCAGGGTGGTAACCGTGGGGGAACTGAGAAGTGTCAGGTTCTGGAAATATTGTGAAGACTTTGCTGGTGAATAGTATGTGGGGTGCAAAAGGAGACTCCGAGAAAGACTGCGAAGAGTTGAGAAGGACTCACGTCGAGCCTGAGCCACGGGAAGATTGGAGCCTCCCTCCACCGAGCTAGGGATGCTGCACATTTGAGGTGTGGAAGATCAGAAGCTTGGGGTTCTGCCTCCGTGAGGTCTTAGACAGCTCTGGTCCACTTGTGGGGTTCGCCAGCTCCCAGCCTCCGAATTTGGTTCAAATCACTAAACATTCATGGGCACCCACCATGTGGGGAGTTGCAGGAAGGAGTAAGGACCAAGTAAATCCTTGGCCTCCAGGTGTTCAAATTCTGAATCAAGATGGAATACAAAACCCCCTTAATAAAAGCTGCTGATAGTAACAGCCACTAGACACTAAGCATACTGAGTGTCAGGCAGTAGAGTGGTGGAAACTACGATTGTGGAGCCAGCTTCTTGAGTTCAAATACTAGCTCAGCCACTTATGAGCTGTGTGACTGTGGGCAAGTTGCTTAAGCTCTCTGTGCCTTTTGTTCCATTTATAAAATAAGGATAGCATTACTCCTACCTCACATGGTTGTTGTGAAATTAAATGAGGGGATATTTTGTGAAACTCTTAGCAAAGTGCTATGCAATATCAGTAAATAAACTCTGCCAAGTGCTTTATATGTGTCATGGCTAATCTAAGTATCAGCCTTGTAAGCTAAGTGTTACTTGTCTCATTTTTTTCTTTAGACACATTTTTATTAGCAATCATCTGTGAGTTTATATAACAAATTGCTCCTTTCTCATTATTATATTCCTCTGATCAAAGTAAGCATTTAAGAAGGATTTACTGCTAACTTTTGGTCAATAAGTTTTGTTGTTTTGCTTTTTAACAAGGTTTTTCCTATAGACAGACTCATTGTCAATGATTCATGGGCCTTTCTTGTTCTTATATTTATAAAAGTGTGACATGCACATAGGTGAAAGAGGTTGATTGCTCTGCAAGGCTTATTGGAAGGAAGGAAGGAAGGGAAGGAAGGAAGGAAAGAAGGAAGGAAGGAAGGAAGGAAGGAAGGAAGGAAGGAAGGAAGGAAGGAAGGAAGGAAGGAAGGAAAGAAGGAGGGAGGGAGGAAGAGAGAGAAAAAGAAAAAGAAAAAGGAAGAAAAAGAAAAGAAAGAGGAAGAAAGAAAGAAAGAGAAAGAAAGAAAGAAAGAAACAGTTCCTTACTTCTATTTCTCTAAAGCAGTGGTTCTCAACTGGGGATGATTTTGCTCCCCAAGGGACATTCGTCATAACTTGGAGGTGATGGTGCTACTGGCATCTCGTGGGTAGAGACCAGAGACAGCCCCCACAACAAGAATTATCTGGTCCTGAACGTTCTTAGAGCAAAGCTGAGAACCCCTGATCTAAAGCATCAGGGACACCAAGGCCTAGAAGAGTGATGAAGGATGTAAGATGCTCAGGGTCACTAGTAAACACAAACTCAGAATTCAAGCTGTGGTCCAAGGGCTCCCAATCCAGCAGGAAAACAGACAGAACGTTGCTTGTGAGCCTGTTGGACCAGGTCCCGAGCTGCATTAAGCATGTCAGTTAATATATATGAGTCTCAGTTTCCTCATCTACAAAATGGATCTGAAAGTACTTACCTCTTATGATTATTATGAGGATTGTGTGATTTATGTGATGAGTGCTTAGCCTGACACGTATTATGCCCTGAATAAGGGGTTGCACTTTTATTTTCCCGAAAGTGTTGCGAGGGTCCTTAGGACGGGACGATAACTTCTGATTAGAAGAATCTGGGAGGGCTTCTTGGGGGAGGAGGGGTTGGCGCTCGGTTTTGCAAGTTGGCTATGATTTGGACAGGTAGAAATGGTGGTGGGTATGGTCTGAGCAGAGACAAGTGGGGTCAAGTAAGGGATGGGCCTGGGGAACCGCGCGTCACCAGGTTTGGCTGGAATGGATGATGTATGTGAAGTGAGAATGAAGAGAGGCAGAGCGATCAGAGTTTCTCTTTGATTCAGGGCACCATGGCCTTGAATCCTCACCCCGCCCCAACCACACCCACCATCAGCCCCGCAAACCTGCTTACAGAGGCACACGGCCCCCCGGCCTCCAGGGCCCGCCCCGAGCTGGCAGACCAGGCCCTGGCTGGGGTCACAGACGTGGAGATGGTCGCAGGGCTCCCCGAGCCTCCGTGCACATACCCGGCAGCAGTTGCAGCCATCCAGCACCAGGGGCACCCCCGGTGGGCATCGGGGTGGTGGCCAGGGGCAGGCACACGGTGTTGGGCACAGCTGGGCATACACCTGCAGAAACAGAGACCTCACTCAGCTGTGGTTGTTCAGGTGGGCAGCGAGACCCTCCCAGTTAGCCACCTCTCTGCGGGGCTGGGCAGTATGGGGTCCACTCCTTGGTGCCAGAGTGAACCTGCCTTGAACCCTGGTGGACCCTTGACACTCCCTAAGAGGTAGCATGGCATTATAGGGTCATCGGCACAGACTCTGGGCTAGAGTTCCAGTCCTAACTCTAGCTCTTATTAGCTGAGTAACCTTGGGCAAGTTACTTAAGCTCTCAGCCTCAATTTCCTCATCTGTAAAAAAGGGGAGCAATAGTCGTATCTAACTCAGGATCGTTTTGGGGAGTACGTGAAATGATGCATGTCAAACAGCACAGGCCTGGCCTGCAGTAGTTGTTCTATGCATTAGTTATGATGGTCATCGTTGTGAATTATATGGAGGGCTGTAGGAGCTTACAGAAAGGCAGAATGATGGATCAAAACCACAGGGCATGCTCCATTTTCTAGCAGGAAGACTGTAGTTATCGTAAGGGCTGAACAAACCAGTGTCATGGATGTTTTCCTCTTTGGAACAATCCGGAATATGTTTTTGGATGTGTATCGAATCAACCAGGAAACTTGGTAAAATACCAACCCCCAGACCTCCTCTGGGACTTACCAAATCAGAACTTCCAGAGGCAGGGCCCTGGAATCTGAATTTTTAACAGGCTGTCCAGGGACTGCTGTTGTGCAGACAGGTCTTTGGCACCTCTGCTCCAGTCCAACTGCCCCTCCCCCCACCACCCACCCCCTGCCATGCACAGATGGGGAAACTGAGCTCTGGGGAGGGGAAGAGACTTGCCAGAAGTCACAGTGTGTTGGATGCAGAGCTGGGCACTTGTTTTCCCATTGAGGACCCAGGATCCCGGGGTGCAGGGGAGTATTTGACTTATAATGGGGGAAGTTCTGAGCCAAGAGCCCACCCCTCAGAGGCAGTGTCAAGGGTCAAGGTATTAACTCAAGTGTCCTGACTGCCCCTCCACTCTCAGGACAGAGAAATGACCAAACCAGAAACCAGATGCCATGGGCTCCCTGTGTGTCTGACCGAAGGTCATAGTTCAAGGTGTTCCCAGTGGCCCTGTCTGTGGGGAACCAACTTTCGGTTTATAGTAGGACCCTTGGGGGACCGAAGGGTTTGATCTAGAGGGCGGAACCGTTGCAGTTTGAGAAGATGAAATCAATGACTTCATATCTCTTGTGTGGCCCCAAAGCAGGCAATGACTCATTTGCCCTAGTCCCCACCTTGTCCCATCCCTAGGACCACCCCTGGCCCACGGCCACAGTCCTGTGAACTGCAGTTCCCACCCTGACCACCAGGGGACCTGCCCCAAACTGTTGGTCCAGTTTGGGGTGGAGGGCGGGCCGGGAAGGTGGGGAGAGTGAGGGGCAGGGGGATGGGCCAGGACATAGCCCTTCTGCTTGGCAGCTGGGTTCCCACTTTGAGCTCTCTCTACCGGCCCAGGTCCTGATCCCCAGCTCATGATTCCCAGGAGAGGATACTAATAGTATTGATGATTGTGACTAACATTTACCATGAGCCCACGACGTGCTGAGCGCTCTAACGTGTTGTCTAATTTAACCCTCCGGAGTGAGGTGCTGTCATGATGCCCATTTTAAAGACGAAGAAACTGAGACCCAAAGCGATGTAGCGACATCTCCAGTAAGAGATAGAGCCAGGATCGGAATCTGGGCTCCAGGCTCTTAATTGCCATGCCCACCTCCTGTTCTCTGGGGACTGGGATGCCAGCTTAGCCTCTGCCTAAATTTACCCATTTGTTCAAAAGGAAAAATGACCCATCAGGGAGGGTGTTTGGCATGGGCAAGGAGAGACACGCCTCTCGGGTCTCTATCTCCACTCCCATCCCCACCACTCCCTCCCTCTGTTCAAGTTGCCCCATCACACACTCGGTTTCCCCAGACCCTTGCCGTGGTGACCAGGGCGCAAGGCTCTGTGGTAAGGACCCTGGACATGGAACCTTCTGGGCAAGAGTCGAAATCTAAGTTCTACCCCTGACTTGCTTTGTGATTTGGAACATTTCACTTAACTTCTCCATGGGGAGGCAGCTGTTTCCTCCTTAGTAAAATGGGGTAGAGACCATCTATCTTAGAGTTGAGACACGGATTAAGTGAGGTCATGGCCAGCTATTCGATTGTGTTTCCAGGTCTCTGCCACTGGCCTCTTTCCACAGCCCTGAGCGCAGGAAGCCACCTGCCTGGAGGACTTAGAATTCCCTGTCTGAGGACTGTGGTGGCTTCTCATGTTGGTGATGAGCAAATCCCTGTGTTCTGTGCAGGACGTTGCCTGGCTCCCTGTGACCCAGGAAGAATAGACAGGTGCACAGTGAATAGAGGACAGCTCCATTTTAGTTTTTAATCCTGAGCCCCAAACCCCGAGTCCCCTGCTCCAACTACCCCAGCCACCCACCTTGGCATCATATCCTGCCCATCGGCTCTGGGAGAACAAACAGCAGGGCTGGGATGCCAGCAGGGTTCTCAGCCTTTTCTGCACACTGCTCAGGACTCATCCCCACTCCTTCCCCACACACCCAGGCTTAGCCTGGGCTCCACCTCCTCTATTACCCTGATGTTCCTTTGCTGTGTGGCTTTGGGCAAGTTGCTTACCCGCTCTGAGCCTCGTTTGACTGAAAACAGAGGATGATAATTTCTAATAGGGTCGTTGGGCATGTTAGGCAAGGTAGACATTCCAAAAGCCCTTGAAAAATATTCCATAAGAGAAGGTCAGTATTCCATGGAGGTGTCTCCCTGTCCCCTCAGCTAGGGTCAGCAGGTCACTCATGCCTGAGAACCCAGGAGCATCAGTGACCTTGCCATGTGAACTTCCTAATCAGTTAGACATCAACATCCATTCAAATATTGGCTCATCATTAGGCAAAGCAGGTCGTGTGTCTTGAGTCTCATTTACAGAAGAGCTTTGTAGGGGGCTGTGGGGATTGGTTAGAATCACAAAAGTCCTCTTTTGAAGTTTTGTCACGTGCCAGGTCCTGTGCTAAGCCCTTTAGGTGAATTATCATAAATGATCTTCACGAAGCCCTCATGATCACTGTGCCCATTCACCTGAGGCAGCAGCTGAAGCTCAGGAAGGAGAAGGGGCTTACCTTGGTCACACAGCAGAGCTGGCCAGAGGCAGCTGTCTGGGCACCAGGGAGAGAACCTAGCTGCGCCCAACACGGGGGGCTTGGCCGTGATTTCGAACCTCCCCCACCACACCAAGGAAGCCCGGGGCCCCCTTACCTTTGAGAGGAGGTAGAGGAGGGAGAAGACCAGGAGGTGAGTCTGTGGTGTGCCTCTCATGTCACTGTGTCCCCCACGGAGCTAGCTTTGAGCCTGGGAGGCAGGACCTGGAAGCCTTTATGTTCCGGCAGCTGTGAGGTCACTCCCAGGCAAACACACACACACATGCACACGCACACAACGCCACACCTGCTCGCTACCGTCTGTTAAGTGTGTCCCATGCGGTGCCTGCTCTCCCTCTCTCCCTCGCTCTCTCTCACACACACACACATGCACACGCACACACACACACACACGCACACGCACACACACACTGGCCTTTGCAGTCCTTTTTCCTCTCTGCATCCTCACCCTCCCACCGATGAGCCCATTTACCTGAAGGTGAGACCCTGGAGGCCGCCAAGGGTGGGTGTGTGTGTGTGTGAAAGCCAGAGCCAGTGTCAACGCCAAGAGCCTGTGACAGGCTGGCAGGGGCCTCTGTAGCTCCTCCCAGCCCAAAAGGGCCTTACCAAGCCACTGCTATAGCTGCTGCAGCCCTGCCCAGACCCCCGGCCCGACCCCAGGGAACTGTGGATCCAGGAAGTACTGGGCAGACACCCCTTCACCAAGCCCCGTGGCCTGGTCTCTGGGCAGCTTTGTAGGGCCTGTGGTTTCTGGCAGGAGGATTGGCAGCCACCCAGAGGTGGGTGTGACCCAGAGCAAAACTTCCCTGGCGGCCTGTTTGCTTTTGGCAGCAAGGGGCCTCCCCAAGGCCTGCTTTCCGGGCTCTGGCAAGAGGCTACGGGGAGTGAGCCCACGCAGCCTGGACCTATTGTGTGCTGGTGCCTGCTGGGCACTACTAGATGATCTGGAAAAACCAAATCCATTTCATGTCATTCAGCCACCTCTGAGGCCCCCTCTGCAGGGACTGGATGCACAATACATCTTTGGGACAAAGCCCAGACTAGGGGACAAACAGGTGGAATTTTTGGGCTCACTGAGGTGGGGTCCTTGTTAAGACAGAGGATGAGGGGCAGCTTTCTGAAGGAGGTGTTTTTACAGAGAGCCAAGGAAGGGGGTGTTGTTTAGCGAGGGCAGACTGATCCAGGCGGAGGGAACAGCACGTACAAATGCCTCGATGTGGGAGAGGGCACGATAGCCCTGCCCATTCCAGGAGCCAAAGGTGCCTGGTGCGACTGGAGCCGGAGCTGACCGTGAGGAGGGGAGTGGGGAGTAAGACACCCAAATTCATACCATCGGGATTGTGGGGACATCTACAATGTCCCAGCCACTATGGGGGCGGAGGATGTAAAGACATGAGCTGTGACTGTAGACTTTGGCAAAGGTAATAGAGGTGATGTCCAGGGGTGTCTGGGAAGGCTTTGGCCCCCATAACCTCAAAGTGAGGGAGCTGGACAGCAGAAGGTTCCAGAATGGGTGGCCGGTGCTGGGGAAGAGTGTCTCGGTGTAGGAATCTGACGGAGGGATTTTTCAGCAGTGGGGAGACACCCTCCTGGTTGCAGTGGAAGGAGATGATGGGGATGGAAATTGGAAATGAAAATGCCGGTTCGATCATTATGGTTGCGGGGAGTGGCTGGGGGTGGGATGGGCTGTCCACACACTTGGAGGGATGGAGAGATACAGTGACCGACTGATTGGTAAATGCTTACATTTTAAGTCAGAAGCGAGCCTAGGGTATTTTATACCCAGAGTAGATTATTTTTAAACGACCCCCCTTCTCTCATACAACAAAATTATTGTCAGCAATAAACGAGATGAAACAAATATATTTCATGCATGTACTAAAATTTGCACTCAGCAAACAAAATCATTACCCTTCACAGTTCACACTTTTTTCACTGTTTCAAATTTTAAACACAGATCAGAATTCCAAGTAGTCACATAGAATGACGGAATTGAAATACCTGTATCTTCTTTGTCTTCGCCATCGCTCTATAGTCATTGTTTCTCTGGATCTACTATCGAGATGCAGAAATATGTAACACCACGGGGCTGGAGATGGGAACTGTATGTGAAGCAAGGCGAAGGGTCCCTAACTGTTAGGAACTTTTTCGACAAACATGTGTTCCTGAGTTTATGTGCTCTGAGGGGCAACTGTGTCCCTAGAAATTCTCCAAGTTAACTTCCATGTAGAATATGTTTATTAAAGGGTAAGAAGTTAAAATGTGCTAATTCAAAGCTTAAATATTATATATTGACTTTATATATTAATAAAATTCAACAGTTACCGCATCAATCAATCATTTAGAACTTAGACGCCCCCTCTAAAAAAAAATTTTTTTTCAGGACAGAAAACTTTATAACTGATATTCGTATCTGCCAGTGTGTGGTGATAACAGAAAGCAGACTGGCTTCCCCTCAATTTTATTTTGTCTTTAGATTCTCTGTGGACAGTGTGCCTCTTATTGCCTGCGCTCAGGGATGACCACTGCTATCCCCTATCCTTGGAGGGCCACTGGTTTTAATGATGATGAAAGTGATAATATATTGAGCACCTAGTGAGAGCCTGCGCTGTGCCAAGTACTTTTTATAAAAAGTGCGTTTCTAACACCTCACAGTGTTTCTAGTCCACGCCTCAATAAGAAAGGTAAAGTTCAGAGAGGTTAAGTTACTTGCCTAAGGTCACACAGCTAGAAAACAGCCAGATTTTTCAGTGCAGGTCTGTATGACTCCGAAACCCATGTTGCAGTTTTTGTGGTTGTCAGTTATTTTGCTACGGCTTCTAGAGCTCTCTGTGACATTTTTTTAAATTGAGGGGTCACGTATATACAGTGCTTAGAGAAGTGCTTAAAGGGCACTAGCATGAAGTGTACGTCTCGACTACTCTTCACATATGTACACACCCATGTAACCACCACCCAGACCAAGATACGTTTCCGGAAGCTTCCTCATGCCCCTTCTAAGGCTAAACCCTCTGTTGCCCAGGTACTCACTCTTCTGACTTCTATCATATGGATTAGTTTTTCCTGGGAGGAACAATTTCGAACCACTTCTTTCTCTGAGACAGGAAGGAAGACGGGAGAGAAGGGAGGTGTGAGGAGGAGGAGGAGGGAGGCTGATCCGAGAACCACCAGTAACAGGAGGAGACCTCCGCTGGCAGTGATGCGGTGACTCGGGCCGTGTGCTCTAAGGACAGTGCAGGAGGCCCTGGCCTGCGCTGCCCACAGAGGTGACAGGAGATGAGTGGAAGTGTTGTCACCCGCCTAGGGGGCCCCTCTGAGTCAGAGCGTGAACTTGGCTTTGTCCTCTCTAGTCACCGAGGATGGGAGCCTGTGGATAGTGGGAAGCCCTGGGGCCCGGCCAGATCAGGAAGCACCCGTTCTGGCATCAAGGGTGTTTGGTGATGAAAGTGTGTGTGATGAATCTACACACGTGTTGAAGTACGGCAGCAGGAACTGCCACTTTGCTGGCTACTTACATGTGATTCAGGCCCCCAAACTGCCAAGGGGGATGCGACAGTGCAGGGACCCCATGAATCTTTTGGCCACTGCTACAGCCCCCCAAATAAGACCCCAGAAGGAGCACAGCTGCTCTGTGTTACCGGAAACAAACTCAGGCTCGTGAGTCAAAAGGTCCCGGCTTCAAATCCTGTCTCGTCTATAGACGTACAGCCCTGGGACTGCGGTGCAGGAATAGGGGTACCTGGGGAGCAAAATGTTAGGAGCTGTCACTCTCAGGTGCTGACCCTGCACTTGCACGAGCCCTAGAGTGAGTGCCTCCTTAAGAGCGAGGCACTCAGGGCACACAATGAGTTCATGGTAGGAACTCAATAAATATTGGTCGACTGGCTAAATGACAATTTTTTATTCCAGTGTATTCATGGGGGATACATTAGGCTATGCTGAGGTCACAGATAAACCCCTAAATCTCAGTGGCTTAAACCAACGCAAGTTTCTTTTTGCTCGCAAATGGTCCAATGAAGTCACAGGTCTTCTCCATCTTGCTGTGGTACCCTCTGGCTCTTCCCAACTCAAATGTCTGCATCACTCGGTTGCTTTTTAGAAATGAAGAATCTCAGGCCCCGCCTCAGAATCAGAATCTGCATTTTAATAAGACCCTCAAGTGATTTGTATGTACAAATCATGTTTGTGAGTCACAAGTCTGTACCAGCGGTCTTCAAGGTCACCTTGGAGAAGAAGAGTAGAGAAGGCACACTGCCTCAGACCGGAAGTGATACTTATCACTTCTGTTCATATTTTATTGGCCTGAACTAGTCACATGACCCCAACTTAACTTCCAAGGAGGCCGGGGAATGTGATCTTTCTATGTGTACCCAGGAAGAGAAACCAGAATGAGGGACATATGACATCCTCTTTGCCACAAGTATCTTGGGATCTGGATACATACTTTTGCTTCCCTGGACCTTAATTTCTCTGTCTTGTTTGCTTGTTTTATTTGTTTGTTTGTTTTGTTTTGAAGTGGCCTACCCGTTCTATGAGACCCGAGTCAGGCCTAACCCTTTAAGTTCTAGGAAATGCATCTGAAAAGTGAAACTCATGAAACCAATCTAGATCAAAACACAGCATATAAAAGCCATGAAAAAATATCTGCCGTTGGAAGATGAAGCCAGTTGCAGCCATTTGGTTTGTCATCTCCCTACACCCATTCTTCCTCCATGATCCTTGCCATGCCAAGCTCTGTGCAAGTTTCTGGCAAGGTGGGGTGAAAAAGATGCCCAGTGCTGGGGAGCTCACAGGGGTGACATTAGATGGTAAGGACAGAGAAACCACAAACAGACCCTAATCCGAGCAGAGCTGGGAGCGAGCGGTGTCGATGCTCCCATAGCTAGACAAACCATCGAGAGAAGGGACGCCCGTACCATGGGAAGATCAGGAGTCAGTCAGATGAAAATCTCAACTCTGCCACTTATTTGCTTCGTGGTTGTGTGTAAGTTCCCTCATCCCTCTGGGCCTCAGCTTCTTTTGGAACTGGGCATCTGTGACAGAGCCTGATAGATGCCCAAGCTAATATCCTTCCTCCCCATCTTTCTTTGTAACCAAACCCTGATTTTATTCGGAGTAGCAATGCCGTCAGCTTTGCAGCGAAACCAGCTTCTAGCAATGAGATATGAACAGAAGTGTTTAATTCTGGGAAGGCTCAAAACAGGAAGGACTTCCCTTCCTTCTCACCTCCTCCACCCCCACCCCCTCCTGATTCCAGTCAGTAAGGCAAACACGATGGTGCAGTGTGACAGCTATTGGAATACGAGGGTACCTTGAGGATGGACCTCATGTGCAAAGGAAGGAAGAAGAGAAATAAAGAAGGAGCCTAGATTCCTGATGACACCTGGAGCTGCCATGTGCACCCTGGACTCCCCACCTAGAGATTTCATTCACACGATTAAAAAAATAGTATCGACATATATAATAATGTACGAATATATGAGAATATTAATATAGTAATAGAATCTAATATATAGTATTCTCTCTATTTGTATACTTTCTTGTTTAAGCCACCATTGTTTTGAGTTTTTCTGGTTAGTTATGGCTGGTGTAAAAATGTTATTGATTCTTGTTGTTGTTTATGTATCTGGCAACCTTGCTGAATTCTCTTATTTGTTTGAATACTTTGTCACCTTATTTGGTAGTGATTCAACGTGGATGATCATACGATCTATGAACGATAGTCTTACCTCTTCTCTGCCAATCCTCACACCTCTTATTTTCTTCCCTTATAGCTTTAGCCCGTCTCTCTGGCGTTATCCATTAAGCAATAGCTGGATAATGGGTGTCTTGGCTTGTTCCTA